TGATGAAAGCATCTACGAGCATTTTGAAATAATCTATTGATTGTTCAGGTAGGAGTGAATACCATGTCAAGGCCCCTTTCGTGAGGGTTTCTCTGAATTTCTTCAGCAGAACCGGCTCAATCTCATGTTGGGCTAAGTCATTTTCTTTCACTGCCATTGTATAAGTTGTGATGTGCTCCTGAGAGTCTGAAGTCCTATCGTACTTTGGTATATCCGATATTGAACTATTTTGGAACCAATTCTGGTGCTACGCTCGGCTTAAATGCAACTGGGTGTACTTCTTCGAATCTGGACCCTTCAAAACTGGCGGTGCACCCAAAATTCGATCCATTCGAGCGTGGAACTCTTTCATGTTTTTATCCATCTACTCGTTCATTTCCCTCATGAATCTCATGAGTTCAGTTTTGAAGGGATCATTACCGGACCCGCTACCAGTCCCCTCGGCTCTGTCGAAGCCAACCTCACCTCTCGGGGTGTTATTGTCAACTTTTTGAGACGTTTGATTTGCCAGAACGCCGGGAGGAGCTGAGCCTCTCTAATTTACATTGTTGGAAGCGCGTGATAGTGAGTTTTAGTTCCGTCATGACGTGGTCTTGCCTTGGAAGATGGCCCGTAATGGCCTTTTGCTTCTATCTCAAGATCCTAACCATTTCAGCAACATGTTCTTCCTCAGCGTCATCGGGAGTCGTTTCCTGCACATGTCGGGGATATTGTCCGCTAAGGAATGGAGTTGCTACGTTCCCCTCGTTGCGGATGTCACTGATCAAATCTTCATGCTGAGGTAGATTTTCATGCGCCTCAACTTTGTGTGCGATGTTAGCATCGTTGGCTGCCATTTTTTGATTTTTTTTTATGAAACAAGGAATCAAACGAGTTAATAATAGATGCAATGATCAACTCAATTACGCAGTGGTCTATGCCCCACGGTGGGCGCCAAATTATTTACCCGTAAAACGGTATAGTTGAATTTGTTACGTGATTTATTGACAAGCAAACTGATTTGATCCAAAATAATAAATAAATTAAATTAGAAATAACACTTAGCATTAAAATCAAAGAAAATAAGAGGCTTGACTCCGGGAGCAATACTTCCATGGACAGGAGTAAGAAAAATATCAGACAGAAAGTAAAATTGTATTATTTAGCTTGAGAACAAAGTGTAGCATAAGTTTTGTCAAAGATTTCGCGTGTCTACAATAGTTGTTGAAGCCACTATTTATAGCTATACCTAGGAAACAAGATCCTAGGATCAAGCCCCTCTTAAACGACAATAGAAGGGGCCATTGATGAATGTGTAACAGCAGGGCATGAACGCCAAAATTCTCTGCAACGACTGCCTATTTAATACTACAGAATATTCTTCATTAAATTTCATCCGTTGACAAACATTCGACATGCTCCTGTTGACTGTACTTCCTTCGTGGTTTAAGGTTTACCCGATACCAACTGTGACTGTTGTCCCCGGCCTTAGTTCTTACTCGACTCGACTCGTCTTCCGCCTGTATTCGGTTCTACATGCCATGCTATTATTTGATCATTTAATTTAAACCAATTTTCTCCTATACATCAATAGTACAAGTTTCTAACAAATGTGTGAATCATCAGCTATATTGGAGCCACAAGGACATTGAAGTCAAAGTCTACATTCTTCATCGAAATTTGCTGGAACTGGAAATTTTGGCTTTTAGAGTAATAAGTCACACATGGAACTTGAAACAAGAGTAAACAGTTAACTATTTGTATATGAACCTACTCAAGGACTTAAAACCAATGCATAAAGCAAAAAAGGCAGACGGCGTGATTGAAATTCAAAAATATTTGCTTGATTACAGATCACTGCTATAGACACTTGTAGTACTCGTAAAAGAATGGATAATCTTGAAAAATTAAATAAAAGGGTATGGTTAAGCTGTAAAAGGATATCTTCTAAATCTCACTTCATTGTACATGAATACATCCTTTTGTGCTCTTCCAGTCAAAACTCTTTTTAAATTTCATTACTATTACTCCTTTGTAAAAGAAGCCGCAATTCATGAACACTTGTTCAATTTACAAAAACTATAAGCACAAGACCTCTGGAAAGTTTTGCCAGTTACTTTGCTACATGGAATTGCAAATACAATTGGAAAAATGTATAAATTTGACCTTGAACTTCGCAAAATTAATCATATATGTCCTCCGTTAAGAGTCTCGTTAAGAAATAGCCTTGTTATTGCCAAGGCATATTATTTATGCACTTTATTTCTAAGGAAGCTCCAACTGACATTTTATCTATGTTGACCATTTCAAATTGTTATGTAAGCGAGACTCATTAAAAAAAAACGCAGAATAACCTGATAGATATTTGTGTTTGCACCGGCTTGACATCCCAGTCCTTGGACTTCATAATGTTTCAACCAGATACTTAAACTCGATCAAAATATGTGTTTTAATCCCCCCCCTCCCC